ACAATAATTCTAGATTCTATGTTAACACATTTCTAAACTCTAAATCAGCTAAACATTTCTACAATATCCATTCTGACATGTTGTATTTCTTCTCTTCTTCCATATATTTCCAGGTACAATTAATGGTCAAGAATCTTTTGTTAAGGTTAATTTGCCTATGAACTGGACTGATGCTCAGAGTTTCTGCAGGAACAATTATGTTGATCTACCCAGGTACAGGATTCATCCAACCCTATTGACGACTACAAGAAATAATATTAGTTTCTAAGATTATGAAGTCATGAAAATGAGATGCAGACACAATGGTCTTTTCATTCATTTCAATTAAGGTTGCACTACACATTGCATGATGTCTCTTTACCTACAAGATGTAAATGTTGAATTATTAAAATTAATTTATCATAAAGTGTTTAACTTTCAGTGTGTCACTAAATCCTTGAATTGTCACATAAGGTACTATGTTTCCAAAAGAACATAATAAGATACATAAGTGATGAACAATAAGTGTGTGAAACTATGTGTTAGATGCTTAGATGTCTATTGTTTAACCTCTGTATTGAAAGTTCTGCATGCCTTCTTACAGCATACGAAATCAGACAGAAAATGACAAGATCAAAGTCACAGCAAATGGAAGCTTTGTGTGGATTGGTCTGTATCGGCAAAAGGTGTGGTCTGATGGGAGTTACTCTCTGTTTCAATTTTGGGCCACTGGGCAACCAAACTCTGGACATGAGCAGTGTGTTGCTGCAGATTTCAGTGACTCGGGACGATGGTCGGATGAATTGTGCTCCAACAGGTTTTCATCAGTCTGTTTTACGACAAGTAATAGATCTAATTTCTACTCTCACATCCTACATAGATGTTAAGTTCTGCATAAAAAAATTTAAAAATGTACTTATTGTTGCTACTTTTTGTTTATGCAAAGCCAAGATCCCAGCTAAATATAGTGAAAATACAGTATACAGGTTTATTTATATACGATTATATAAAAACACAGGCAGTAAGCACGTCTTAAGTTATTATTAATGAGGAATGTCATCTGCTGTGAGTATGCAAGTGACAAGAACTTAAGTACAAGTGTAAATTGAAAATTGATTAAGAAGTGTATTTTAACTTAAATGGTTATGTCAGTCAATACTTCAAAGAATTGCTTACTTTTTACTGCATTGTCTTTGAAATCATTAATGGGCAAAATAAATGTTGTGACTTTCTATGATTTCTGCCATGACAGTAACGTTCAGTCTAGCGGCACAAACGGAAACCAGCATCACTCTGCAGTGGAATAAAGTCAACAACAATGTCAGCTTTGTTCTCCAGTTTAATGGGACAGAGACAAACATCAGTGCACCAGCTGGAAATGGACCAGT